ACAAAAATGATCTCTGCAACCAAAAGACATTGGTTTGCACGGCCCCTCTTTTTTTTATTTCATTAACATCGGCGAAGATTTTAAGGTCAAGGGACTTGCAACTAAGGGATGTGGAGGGGGGGCTGATTTTGGAGAGGGTAAGGTGAGGGACTTGCAATTGGTGGCTATGGGTTGGGTGTGTTGTGGCAGTGTTGGGGCTGATTTTGAGGTGGGGTTGAATTTAAATTGGAATTTGAGGAGTTGGTGGTTCGAGGTTGAAAGCTTCAAAGTGAGGGAGAAAGAGAAGAGTTGAGCGGAAAAGAGGAAGGATAAGAGATTTTGGCTATTGGATTTGTATCAATGGATGGATCCATCGGCCTAGGGGATCTCCACAAATTGATCCGGAGATGATCTAAATCCATATTTATAATAGCTTAAGCCCATATAACATTTATAGAGCGAGAAAGAGAGTGAATGATAGAATAGTCAAATTCTAACTATTTATAATAACTCAAAGCCTAAGTGGCATTCATCACTAACCTATTCCTAATTAATAAAAATATATTATTGATTATAAGCCTAAGTGGCATTCATCATTGACCTATTCCTAATTAATAAAAATATATTATTGATTATGTCCAAAACAAAAGTATGTCATTGATATATGGCTTAATAGTAAGGTTCTTATTGACCTTTGGCTAAATTACCTAATACTTAATTATGATAAGTATGATTCTTATTGAAAATTTCCAACCAAAAAAAAAAAAATCATTTATAAATCAATAAATTTTTTTTACTCTATTTATTATATTCTATTTAAAAATAGGGAAATTCATAAAAAAAATAATATAAATAAAATAATTAGTCTATATATAAGAAAGAGGATATCACATATTATGATATTACGAAACATAATTTTTTTTTTTTTAATTAGATCAATACTTCTAATTGAATAAGTATGAGTAAAGGATCCATGGAGATAAGATAGAAAGTGGTTGTCTAATCATCATAGTTAGAAGCGCCAACTCCGTATCAAAGTCACAGTCATCATGATCATTAATATCGTCGCTATCATCAATATTGTCACTATCATCAATAAGAAAACTCTTGGGCTTGTTAGCCAGGGGTACCGGCGACCGAAGCCCTGGTGAATGGCAGCCATAACTATAACAGTCCTAAGGTAGTGAAATTTCTTGACGGATAAGTTCCAACCTACACGAAAGAAGTAACGATCTAGGCACTGTCTCGAAAAGAGGCTCGGTGAAATAGACATGTCTGACACACCCGACCCAGGAATATCCATTAGGACCCCAAATCGAGGCATGTTGGCCGACACCAGGGAGGTGACGAAGCCATAAAGTGTGATAATGTATAAAGTGTGAATACATTAAAATCTTAACATGCCTACATACACGAGTGCGCGGTGAGAAGGTCTGGACCCATTTCACGCGTGATACAGAGCATAAGTATAAGCTAAGATAATGATTATACCATCAAAAGAAGCCACCTGCACTGGGAAGTGCCACAAATCCTCGTCAATACGGAAACTCTACTGCTAGTACCTGGAGGGGTGCATAAATAGAAAATGTGAGTGAGTGATCGAAACAAGGATTTTCAAAATCATTTCCATTATCAAAGGTAGTAACCCCTCACCAAAAGGCCTGTATAGTTTCCAACAAATCATACTACTTAAAAGTATGAAATCAAAAGTATACTAATAGTAAACCCAGAAGTATACCACTATCCAGCATCTCATTGGCAATACAAAGAATCACATGCTTAATAAACCATATTAGCATGCAAGTCAGAATCACCTATGGTGACCTCTACAACTGTGCACATAACACATCACATATCATCACATACTCATCATGTATAGCTAGTATATAAGTTGGAGTCACCTATAGTGACATGTACGACTTATTCATATCTCATCATCATTGCTAGCACATACAAGTCGGAGTCACCTATAGTGACCTGTACGACTTGTTCATATCTCATCCAATCTCTCAACAATCATTGCTAGCACATATAGCTCCACAATCAATTCCTGCACACGACTCGGAACCACCTAAAGTGGTCTGTATGACAAGTTGGGTGTAAATAAATACGCTCAAGTGCTACGATCACGTGAAGGCTGTGCGAAGTATCGCAAGTCACCTACAAGTCGGAACCACCTAAAGTGGTCTGTACGATAGGCTAGCACCTACCTGGGATCCAAGGTGAGTGTGTGGTGCGGAAGGTGAATGATCACGTGAAGGCTAGGCCCTGGCCACGAGTGGGAGCACTAACACCGAGGTGCAGGTTTATGAGTTATAACATATCTCAATACAATTGTACTCATTACCATCATTATCATCAAAGTGTACTTACCTGAATCTTACCTGAGCATCCGCAACATCATTAGGCACTTCAAAGCATTCACAATAATTAGGTTCAAGTAAAAAACATATGAGTATGCCATGATGTAAATCTGAAATTCAACCATATTATAAAGATTTCCATATATATAGACATATATACAAATGGCATGAAATGCATAGTTGTAACACCCCACTCCCGAACTATTTACTTTTAAGAATAATCATAAGTGATAGGTCCAAATAGACACTAATTAAATTAACTATCACTACTTACCTTTCCTTATCTCAATTTCTTGACCCTTCACATCTTAACTTATGTCCAACATTTAACTACCAAAACCTAGGGTTGAATCTCGCATTTTCACTAATCTCCCTCACACTGCTCAATTCCACAAGCAAAGCTATTATCTCAAATATTTAGTCTCGTTTATTGTATGGCTGCATCTAACGTCTCGTTAGACTGCCTACGTACCCTAAACAGGAATCAAGTCATTCGTAGTTCACACTAGTCTTCCAAAGCATTAACATAAATTATATGAAATTCAATTTGTAAACGTTTGCGGAATTATCAGTCATATATATATATATATATACACACGATAAAAGAAAAAGCCTCCCTCACTGGTAAGTGGAAGGGTCGCAGCCCCCTAGCCTCGAGTGACTGCGCTCGTCCTCAAGATAGGTCTCACCTATATGCGAAACAACTATAAAAACGTTAATTTAAAGCACATAAACGAAACTAAGTAATAACTTCTCAAACATTGCTCAAATGAGGTGTTGGAATATACCACCGTGATCTACTCAACCTCACGAACATCCCTATATTTTTAGAATAATTTTTCAACCATCCACACTCCGGCCAAGGCACGGCCAGATGCGCCAGCCACGCGTGGCCAAACCCTAACTAGGCCTAACGGCCATTAGGAATATTCCGTTAAAACCTTAACAAAAGTTAACGACCGTTACCTGACGCCATTAGAATATTCCGTCAACTCTAACAGAATATTCTCCTCCTTCTCTGGTGAGCCTCACCGATTGCCGCTGTCCGTCACTGTCTGCAACTCGAATTCTCATCGGTTTCTGGAAAATTTTTTAAACTTCATATCTTCCTTATTTCTCAACCAAATTCCATGAAATTTGTACCAAAATGAAGCTTTCAATGAGTAGAACAAAATCTTACCACTTTTGTGACCCAAAACCCCCGAAAACTGGCTGGAAAATCCTTCAATATTCCGATCACCCCTACAACTCGCCAACCCAAGCTTTCCGACATCCAAAATCTTCCAAAATTATTTCTAGAGCATCGTGAAGATGTTCCAAAGCTTCCTATAAGCTTAGAATCTTCCAAAAACTTCACAATTACGTGTACATGAACAGTACCTCAAATCGGAGGTTATGGTTCTCATTTTTTCCAACAGTTTCACGTCCTAAAAATGGTATAGCTCAACTCCTGAGCTTGAAATGAGTCCAAAAACACCAACAATGACCACAATTTGTGAGTGGAGAGGTTAGTTTCGAAGTTGTCCATACAATTGTACGGAAATGGAGGAAAATTCGAAAGAGAGGAAAAAGAGGAAGGGTCCAGGGGTTTTTTTTGGTGTGTGTGGGTGTGTGTATGTCCTGATGGCAACCAACCCAAAACAAATCACCCAAGAAACCAACTAACATCCAAGGGCAAAATCGTCATTCCACACCATCAAAGATAACTTTCAGGACAGGCTGTCACATGTCTATTTAAGTAAATAGCAAAATTATAGATAGGGAACTGTACTAGCGACCTACCTAATTTTATGGCCAGTAAATGGGCCTTTATGAGCCTCTAACATATCTTCCATACCATAACCAATGCCCCAGCTGGTCCTATACATGTGACCCGCTACCAAAAAAAGAATTGCAATAGCTAAATAACGGTGTCACAAAAAAAAAAAGAATAAAACAAATAATTAAGTAATAACGAAAGAAATACTAAAATTAAATAGTAAAGAAGCAATAACAAACCTCTTGATATAACAAGAAATATTTTATTACTTCTTTACTTTCAAGAACTCACAAAAAATCATTGGCGTATCAAATTATCTATTGAGCCATGGAAAAGATTCAACAAAAGACAAAAACAAATCCACTTTCTGTTTTACGTCAAGCAATACGTGGAGTAACTCCCGATATAGCAGTAAAAGCAAGACATGTCGGCAGATCAACTCATCAATCCTTATTTATAGTAGCTTAAAGTCCATTTGACATTCATAGACAGAGAATGATAGAAGATTCAAATTATAACTATATATAATGATTTGAAGCCTCTGTGGCATTCATTATTAACCTATGTCTAAGTAATAAAAATATATCATTGATTCAGTCCAAAACAAAACTATATCATTGATATATAGCTTAACAGTAAAATATTTATTGATTTTTTGCTAAATTGCTTAGTTTTAAATTGGGTGCTCACAATCTAATATGAAATTACAGCTTGCCATCCATACGCTGATTATCACACAAACATGTTGTCCACGTGTTTTGACCCCACGTGTGGAAGGAGAAGTTGATAGCTGCCCTAGTTGCCAAAAATATTAGAGCATGCTGCTTTAAAAATGTGGATTCCATCGTCTATGGTTATAGTACAAATGATATTATACGGTATCTACACCTTGCCCAATATAAGATGACTATTTTTTATTTTTGTCAACATACTACAAAATTACATGTTGTAAAGAATGTGATAGCCTGTATAAACTAAATCCACTAATGAAATTCTTCTTTTTAGTTTGATTCCAACCGAAGCTATGATCTAATCTCTATGAAGGGGCAATTACACCAGATTATGAATGCTATTTTTACGAATAATAATACAAAAATTTTACAGATTTTTGTAACAATGAGTATGGTGGTATAAGTGTTACATGCTCATAGCCCTGGATGACTGTTCTGATTCACCCTCCGCCTCCCCTTCGGCCGCCTCTACATTTTCCTGCACACGTTGATTGATATTTAAATTGTTAGTACGCGATCGCTTCACAGAACCATAAAGGAATATGCACATGCAATCATTAGTTGGATCATGCCATTGAGTCCTTCAAGCTGATTTCATGCAAGTATCTTTCCAATGCACCATCCCCTCGAACAATCTTCCCTCCACATCCATGCGCATTTACCGTACCAACCGACTCCTCATCAACCACTACAGCATCTATTCTATCCTTTCCTGTCTTAACATCAGGAATCTGAGACAAGCACGTCAAAACAATTTTTTAGCAAATATTTTTTGTATTTAAAAACATTCCCATGCTAGAATTATTTTTTACGAAAACCATGGATTCTTGCACACCTCGTACATGGCTTCAGTTAGAATGCTTTCCAAAAGTGCTCTTAAACCCCTGGCACCGGTATTCTTAGCCATCGCTTTGTTTGCAATTAGTCTCAGTGCATTCTCCATGAAATGTAGCTTCACCTGAAGTGGGGTACAAGGTCTCATCAAACAGAAGCTTGACTCTAGTTCAATTAAACACATTGGAAGAGAGGTTTTGGGAGGGTGGGGCTAGGTTTTGCGTTCCTAAACACAGAATCAAATGCAAAATGCTTACATTATTCATGCCAAATAATTTCTTGTACTGCTTGCCAAGAGCATTTTTTGGTTCCATCAGGACCTGTAAATGAAAAGTTATATGAAGAAAATGGTAATACATGCTTCTATACATGTAAGAAAGCCAGGCTACGTACATCAGTCAAAAAAGTGTAGCAGGCTCGTATACATCTGGTTTGCTTTCTAACTAAACTATTTGTGTGTCTACGAGACTACTAGTTAAAAAGAACTACCAAACAGAAATAATACCAGGTCAAGAACCAGAAGGGTGCTGATTCCAAGAACAAATGCATTTATGTATACCTGAACAAGTTGGTCCTCAGTTAAAGCCGATAAACTAACTAATATTGGAAAACGTCCAATAAACTCTGGTATGAGTCCATAAGCAATGAGATCAGAACTTTCAACCTGGAAAATAAAAAGAGTAGCATTTAGACCCCATTTTCAGGAATTCTTTCCGATTAACTTATTCATTTTTCACTTTTTTTTCATTCTTCTTTTGGGGTGCAGGGGTGTTAAATTTTAATGCGTCACGCTGATTTGAAAGGTCCCTGATTCATACCAATTCAAGTAAAGATGACGTCACCACTGAATTGATCACACCACCAGCTCTCATGTTTGCACGGACAGGAGCACCGAAACCAATAGAAGAATCCTGTCGTCTGGTCAGAATGATAGATACTTTCATAGCAGATTCTTTTGAGAAAAAAAAATTGGTAGAGGAGGGGGAGAAACAAGAGATGATTAGGGGAATGATACATTTGGTTACCTCTCTGAAATGGTTTTTTCCAGATCAATAAATGCTCCGCCACAAATAAAAAGGATATCTTTCGTATCTATCTGTAGATCATTTACAAGCATTTTAAGAATAAACCATAAGAGAAACAATATGCATGAATATTGGTAAGAAATAACTAATAACTAGATGCAAGTAAAGACTTATGTTTTCTTTTCCTCTTTGGGATGGTGGTTAAAATTTAGAACCAAATACCCAATGGAGTAACGCTTAGAAAGACATCAATTATCGTTCATATATTAAATAACTGTATCAAGTTTAATTAATTTTAAAAGGTTCGGAACCAAATAGAATTTATCATTTTGAGGTTGTACATGTCTAATTCTGTAATGTCTGTATGAAAAAAACAGGTATGCTCCTATTTACACTACTTGAATAAAAACAAGTTCATACGGCAAAAGGAAAATAGTAATTAGCAATTATTATTGAAAAAAAAGGTTGGAAAATCCTCCCATACTTTTCTCTCCCACACTATTCCCTCTTCCTGTTCTCAACTTCTCCAGCAAAAATTGTTTCACATGCATAGCTTGTGTCATCTCACTCGTTTTGCTAATAAGGCAAGCTCATTAATAGGAAAAAAATACAGAGTAGAGGACAAGAAGTCCTCAATAGGAAAAACCAAAGACTAAATGCAGCTCAACAAGAAAGCTAAAGCCTGGCACAATAAGCTACATAACAACAGCACTCCAATGCTGGTGAATAAACTAGGAAAAAAAACTGCATATAAATGGCATAACTCTCAACAGTAACTAAGTTTTGGGTAAATCCCAGGTTTGATAACAACTATGCCTATAAGTGCATCAATGTGAAGGAAAGGACGAGGAAGTCCCTATCTAGGGGACTGGGTCATGAGATAAGAGATGACATACGTACTACTTGGGCCTTCAATTATGGCTAATTCGCATGCAAATATATTTTGAAGGAAATCGTCTTTCCAGGAGAGAGATTTACTTGTTAAATCAGTCTTAAGTACCCCAATTATATTTCATGCTTACTTTTAGCTTGTCAAGTACTGAGGTTATGAGATTAGAGAGGATGTACCACCAAATAAATTTAAATATTGTACAGTGATCAAGAGAAAGAGGAGGATTAGCGATTGCAAAATTTACTAGAAAGGAATAAATGTGGTCAAGGTACATGGCTGTGGCATTTCCCTCAAGTGCAGGATTAATTAATTATGGTGTTCTATCATTAAGAGTAAACATGGTGTGTATTCGAATAGGTAGGACTCTTTGGCTGTGGAGGAAGGCTCTTTCAATTTCTCGTGGAAAAAAACCACAATCTGGTTTGTATAAATTAGTGGTTGAAACTACGGAAATAATTCTAGAACTTGTGTCAGGGAAGACAGTGGTATGGTGACTCCTTTTTCCAAAATTTGTTTGCTAATCTATGCTGATCTTTTTTTCACAATATGGTAATGATGTAATCTCATTGAATCCACTTGGATTTGACAAAACATGTTTCTTCCTGTAAACCCTTTTTTATTTCTATGTTGGAAAATTAAAGTGTTCTAGTTTCTGTTATCTGTATAACTATAACATGGTTTGGAAGGGAGCATACCTACTAAAGTACAAAACTGGTTTGGCTGGTGGCATATGGGAAAAAAAAATACTGGTAACAAGCCCGGAAAAAAAAAAATACTTTTGTTGTCTTTAAATCAACGTGTTTTGTGCAACAAACTGGCGCAATTGCTGATCATTTTTATTTTGCATTGCATTCTTCTTTCATTTCAAAAGTATAGAGAGGGGTCAAATAAGGATGTTTTTTATGTTTGGCCAGGCCACAGAAATCTGACCTTATGCAGTCTGGCTCAAAAAGCTTGGAGGGAAAGAAATACAAGAATCTTCCTGACATGGTGGCGAGGTGGTTTTCATTTTGGAATCAGATATCAAAACTCTCTTTGGACGTCTTTGTCTAATTACTTAGGATTATTTTGTTGGTGTAAATCATCTTCACTGACAGATCTGAGTTGATAACAAGTTATTACTAGTTATCTTAATTGTAGTTTCTGCAGAACATTTCTTAGACGGCATCCTGCTCGGGCGGATACCAGGCTGCTCAACCAGCACTTCTGTCCACACAAGGGTACTTTGGGCTGTTGTTGTTTTCTCAGACCTTTTTAGGCTTATGATTTAAGTTATAGTTCAGGGTTGTTATAACTTAAAATTAAAATATAAATAAATAAGTTGCGGCCTCAAAGTGCCACTTGTTGGAACTTAGAAATGAATCATGCAAGTGGAACCCTGCGCCCTTGAAGTTTTTTTTTTTTTCGTTTAGTTGAACTTTCCTGCCCACTTCCCCTTACAAGCTTTTTTTCTCAACTACTAATTTGGAACATTTAATAAAAAGTTTTTCTCCTACAGCTTAAATTTCTAAATGAAAAAAAAAAGAATAATAAGAACACACATTTTAAGGTGCACATAGGTCAATTAGGAGTTGTATAAGGATATGCATATATTCAATACCAAATAGAATTAGGAATTCTTAGGTTCTAACAACAGTGGGATAACCAGCATGATTTAACATATTTGTGAGTGAGAAAATATTTCAGAAACTTAAAAGTTCTATACCTGTATGTTATCACCCCGAGGATGCTTCCTTGCACCCTTCTCAGGAACATTCACTATCTAAACAAGAAGAAATATATTACTCTTCAGTTGTCAGAGAAACCATGCTGATAACTTTATAACTCTGATTTTATAAGGCTATGAAAATACATTACAAATAAACCTGCGTTTAATGCAGTATGCAGCACAAAATTAGTCTGTGCTTCTACGAACAATCATCCCAAGAAAAATTAAAGCAAAAACTCAAAACAAACAACAAGAATGTTCAATTTTTATTTTGCGACTTTAGGAGTATTTTCAAATACCAACTCCAAAGTTTCTCTTGCAATGCTATAGAAGTTAATGTACACTGAGGTAATTGGGAAGACAACAAAATATTACTTTTGGGATTTTTTTTCTCTCTTATGTGTATGCATTTACTTTCTCATTTCTATTTGATGTTATTTTTCCTCGGTTTTATTACATATGGTAGCTTGATTACTTAGCGCTTTCACTAAGGATCTAATCAAGGTCAAAATTGGAATTCTATGTCTAGTTTTCAAAACTAACGAATTGGTGTATATAAATGGGCACTCTTTATAATCGATCCTTATGTTTAGTGATTGATTTGAGGAAAAAAGAATAAAGCGAATTGATAAGAGTTGCTTTGTTCTAAATTAAAAATACATAAAAAGATACTTACATCTGTCATGGACTTAAAAGACACTAAAAGAGTACTGACTAGAGAACGCAACAGCAACAATTCAATTTGTTTCCATGCATCCAAACAAGATAAATTAGTTGGTAAATAAATCATTTTCTGAGCAACACTTTAGTGTTTAGCAACTGACTCACAGTTCCTTCAAGCATTTTCAATAAAGCCTGCTGAACACCCTCTCCTGAAACATCTCTGCTAATGTTTAAACTCTCAGCCTGAAAACCAAATCTGAAGAAACTAAGACTTTGATGATACCTATGACCATGATCAATAAAATAAAATAAGAAAGGGCAAATGCAGCACCTTTTTGGTTATCTTGTCAACTTCGTCAATGTAAACTATCCCTTGTTGAGCTGCTTGTACATTAAACTCAGCTGCCTATTTACAGGATCAACTATGTGAGTTAACTGATATGAATATAAAAGGCAAGCACAAGGTTAGAAGACTAATGAATGCTTACAATCAAGAACAACAACAAAAAGTAGCAGAACAGGAAAGTTTTGTAGATGACTTAGATAGTTAGATGTCGTTGAGTCAGCAGAAATTTGCATTGCTATATCAAAAACCACTCTAACTAGACCAGCCAAATCAAATAAGAACAGTACATGAGTATGTGGATGAAGAATACGAGCAAGAAAATTATTAATTTTGACCACTCATAGAGTTCAAAAGAAGTAACTTTGTCCTTACAAGTTTGATGTGACCTATCCACTGCATGGAAATGACCATCAGTATCCTCAGGAACCTCCCCTCTCATTAGTTACATAGAAGTGCAACCATAACGCATTAACAATCATATAAAATAACAAGCAAAGGTGAGGGGGAAGAGGAGGAAAAAGGCTATATTCATAGTTCATACACTCACATCACAACGAAAGAAGGGAAGTCATACAATTTCAAAGAGTATTAGATGTTCAGAATACAAAGGGCAAGAATAAAACACATACAAATGCATGCACACATTCCTCCAGAAAATTGGAAATAAAGATGAAACATATTACTGCAAGGATAAGAAACAACAAGTTGGATGGCTTTTGAACTGTAAGTCCGAAAGATTCAAACATCTCATACCATTAGTAGTTTATACAATATTGATTCAACATCTTCTCCAACATAACCAGCCTGCAAAATTACAGTATTTGCCTCTTTCAGTTATGCAGTAATAGATAACAATAATAATGTGCGCGCGCATATGTGCATGCACATTGAGCCTAAAAAGAATGCATCGTGGTAAGTTATTATGTAAAGCTGGACACAGTGAATTTCTATATTCCATGCTGACCCTCATTATCCAATTGCACTCAGTTTGTAATTTTCAAAATAAACAAAGTATGCCAAGATCATTAAATCAAATAAAGATACCAACCTTGGTCCATAGGCTAGATTTTGTGTTCTATTTTCAATTCATAATACTTTTCATAAATCAACTTGCCTGTGTTAAAGTTGTTGCATCTGTAATGACAAATGGAACATTCACAAAGCGAGCTAGTGTTTTTGCAAGCAAGGTCTTCCCTGTTTTGCATACAATAACACAGTTAGAAGGGCAGGTTAACTTCTTAAAGGTTCTTCTAACTTAAACTTCCAGATAGCCAGGTTTGGATTTAGATGATTAGTCCAAAGATAAGAAGATTATAAGTGGAGCACCGGTTTTTTTCCAGTTGCTTCAGAAGAAATCATACCGGAGCCAGTTGGGCCCATCAAGAGCACATTGCTCTTTTCTAGCTCCACTTTATCATCGTCATCTACTTTGTTTGGAATTCCTGATTCTGCTCCTGACCTAGCATACAAATCCATTGGTTCAGTTGTATTAAATACATCCACAGAAACAATAGTATGAATTCTCCAACTGCTTACAAAACTGTTATTATGACCAAGATCTTTCGGCTAAGGAGTTCAGAAGTACATACGGATAGTGAGTTCTCAAATATATATTGGGATTGGATCATGACTAGTGAACATGTGTTGCATTGTTGGTTGAAAGACAAAATGAAATGGCATGAGTAATTGCAGCATGAATTTGATCAAGAAAAATAAAAATGAAAACGAACCCTTTCTTCAAGGAGGCGTGATATATCCTTTTGTAGTGGTTATAAACGGCCACAGAGAGCACCTGCAACAGAACGTTCATACAAAAATTATCCATCCACACTCCACCCAAATGCTAACAAAGAAAAGAAAGGGGAATAAAGCTACCTTTTTGGCTCTTTGTTGGCCTATAACGAACTTGTCAAGGCCCTTGCAGATCTCCTTAGGGGTGGGCAAATTGTTTCCCAAATTGGAACCGCCCCAAGCATTCTTGTCTCCAGCATCCCCAGTCCCAGGGGGCACAGAAGCCCGAATGACATTAACTCCAGGGGCAAAAGGAGGGCCCGGGGGAGTATGCACGGCCAGTCCATTGCCTGGGGGCGGAGGCGGAGGCCAGTTCTCAGGTGGGTCCGCCCCATTGGCATATGACCTCAAACTATCCCAGAAAGACACCCTCAGCCCGTTGTTATTAGTATTGGGCTCGGAATCTGCTCCTCCGTTATTGCTGCCATTTCGGGAAGAATGGGACTTCTTGTTGTTGTCAGAGTTGTTGGTTTTGGTGGCGCTGCGATTGGAAGAGGAGGAGGAGGAGGAGGTGGTGGTGTTGGTGAGCCTCCCAATCTCTACGAAGGTGCCCTGGAGGGGAGCAATCTGGTGGGGTCGGAAGTAGTAGGCTGTTTTGCAATTGGGGCAGAGATTGAGGGCCTGATACTGACGAATCTCAGAGTCAGAGTTTCCAGAGGCAGATGTTGCAGAGGTGGAGGCGGCCTTGGCCTTGGTTGTGGAATCATCTGGTGGAGGAGGAGAAGGAGATAAGTTGGGTAAGCGGCGATCGGAGAAGAGGAGGTCCATGCGGTTGAAAGAACATCGGGGGCAATTGGCCTCGGCTCTGATTTTGCGGATACGAACATCGGCGGAGCCGCCGTGGTCCCATTTGTAGCGCTCCTGCAGTCCGATGAAGGAGTCTCGTCGGCGATGGGTTGTGAGGTGGAGGTGGTTCAAGTGCGTGGAGATTGGGGAGACCTGAGTCTGAGAGAAGCGCTGCTGGAGCTGTGGAGCTATTTGCTGAACCTTCTTCAATCTCAACATTCCAGACATTTCACTCAAATTATAATAAATAATAAAAATAATACTTGTAAAATTCAATACAACTGAATCCAATCAATCGAAGCGAGAGCGAGTGAGAGTTTGTATTTGAGTTCGAGACATGAAAGAGATATGGATTGGGATTGGAAGTGAAATTGGGATCGGAAGTGGAATTGGGATCTCCAATGCTATATAATAATCATATTAAGCTATATAACCATCCAAACAATATATATATATATATGTATAAAATTATATCCAAACTTAGAGAGAGAGCAAACAGAGAAGAAAGAAAACGTGGGGGTGGGGTGGGGGGGAGTGTTTGTAGGAAGGAGGAAATACAAAAAACTGAAAAACCTGGAAATCCACACGCACACAGCAAGGGCCTAATTTCTGTTTTTGGATGTGTTAAGGAGGAGAGGAGGGAGACTAATTGGCTAACTTTGAAAGTTGGACTGACTGCGTTGGCGTACATCTACTGGACTGACGCATGTAATGTACGTGCTCACCTAATCGGCTGGCTAATCCCCTCTTCTCCGCTTCCTTCGGCCAACAATTTTTATCATCAGCCATCAGCCCCTACCACCCACCTCTCCACGTTTGCGGTTTTCCCTTATCTATGATCTATATCCAGTTCTCCATCCATGCCCACCATCCAACTATGTCTATTGTCTGCCATCTTTTTCTTGCGTATACCTCTTCTTCCTTTTTTACGCTCCATCTAGAGTTTCCAGTTTCTACTCTACATTTACCATTTTTAAGATAAAATAATACACTATACATCTTGGCTTTTCTTTCTCCTGCGCAACGTCCAAGCAAAACGCTAAATAATTAATATAAAAAAAAATTTTAACGAAAAACTTCTAGTACTATTCACTTCAACGAAAAATCATATTTTTACACTAAAATGTTAATTCTGATACCATTCATTTTACCTTCATTTTGTCCTTATCATTAAAATTCAAAGTTTTCAAACTTTTTTCATTAGTTTTCCTTATATAAAAACGCTAAAAAAAAAAAAAAAAAAAAAAAAGGAAAACTTTAATTCAAATGTGAAACTTTCATGGCCCGTGGAAACAATAGAGGGGAATAGTTGTAGTTTAATTCCCTCTAAAATTAAAATTTTATACAAAACTACCTCAATTATAGGTCAAACCACAAATTCATATCTCATGTTTTAAACATTGCAATGTCATATTTCAACTTATGAATTCATTGCAATGTCAAATCTCCGTTCAATTTTCTGTCAATTTAAATGTTAAATAATGACGTGATGACACACCCCTTTTCGGAATGTCCACTAGGACCCGAATCGAGACGTGCTGGCCGACACTAGAAATGTGACGAAGCCATAAAGTGTGATAATGTATAAAATGTGAATAAATTAAAATCTAAAAGTGCCTAAGTACGCGAGTGCGTGGTGAGCGGGTCTGGACCCATTTTACACGCATAGGTATAGTACAGTAAGGTAAGATAATGATTATATCACCATAAGAAACATTTGTACTGAAAAGTGCCATGAATCCTCGTCGATACTGCTGCTATAACCTAGAGGAGTGCAAAAATAGAAAATGTGAGTGAGTGAAACAAAACTTTTCAAACCAATTTCAATTACCAAAAGTAATAGCCATTCTCCGTAACACCTATATAATTTCCCAGAAATAACAGGCGTGACTATAACTCAAAACCATAACCAAAATAACAATCTCACAGTTATGCCGTGTCAAATATCTCAATAATAATAAGTAACCCAGGTGAAATAAATCAATATGAAATGGTATGTCAGCCGGATCCACCTATTGTGGCATGTACGGCTGAACCAATAGCTCATCAAAATGCTAGCCGGAGTCATCTCACGTGACCTGTACGGCTTATCTATATGTCATCAATCAATGCTAGCATATAAGTCAAGAGTCACCTATAGTGACCTGTATGACTTATCCATATCTCATCAATCAATGCTAGCACATAAGTCGGGAGTCACCTATAGTGACCTGTACGACTTATCCATATCTCATCAATCAATGCTAGCACATAAGTCAAGAATCACCTATAATGACATGTACGATTTATCCATATCTCATCAATCAATGCTAGCACATAAGTTGGGAGTCACCTATAGTAACCTATACGACTTATCCATATCTTATCAATCGATGCTAACACATAAGTCGGGAGTCAACTATAGTGACCTGTATGACTTAATTTATAGCTCATCAAACATCCCTGCACATAAGCCGGAATCACCTCTAGTGGTCTATACGACAAGACTGGGTGTAAATAAGTACGCTCAAGTGCTACAATCACGTGAAGACTGTGCGAATAATCGTGGGTCACCTATGAGTCGAACCCACCTATAATGGTTTGTATGACAAGCATGTGCACCTACCTTGAGTCCAAGGTAAGCGTAAGGTGCGGGAGGTGAACATCACGTGAAGGACTGTGCCCTAGCCACGGGCGAAAGCACTAACACTGGGGTGCAGGTTTATGAGTTCTCAATGCATCTCAATATAACATGTACAACTCATGGGCAACCTGTACGACAGTGTCGGGGTTGCCTAACATTGCAACATGTACGACAATGTCGGAGTTGCCTAACACATAAATGTAGTCATGCCATAACTCCATCAATTCAATTAATACCATAAACTCACCTGAACTTACCTATGTGTCCTACGTTCACCTTTGCACTTCAAAGCATTTACAATAATTATGTGCAGATAATATACATATAGATATGCCATGATGCAATCTAATACTCAACCATAACATAGTGTTTCCAAATATATATATATACAACATGGTGTGAAATGCATAATCTATAACGCCCCACTTGCAAACTATTTATTTCGGGAATAACTATAGGAAACAAGTCCAACTAAATATTAGTATAATCAACTATCATTACTTACGATTCTTTACTTCAATTTCTTGATTCTTCACACATTGATTTATAACCAACATTTAACCACCAACACATAAGGTTAAATCTCACATTTTACACCAATGTCCCTCACATTGTTCAATTCCCCAAACAAAGATATTGTCTCTATTATTTAATCTCACTTTTTTGTATGGCTACATCTAACATCTCGTTAGACTGCCTATGTGCCCTAAACAGGGATCAAGCCATTTGTAGTTCACGCATGTACTTCTAAACATCCACAGAAATTATATGAAATATTCAATTTATAAACATTTGTGGAGATGTCAATCTTATATATATTGTAAGATCTCACATCGCCCAGAAGAGTAATCCTTATATGTATATTCCCATCCTTACCTAGTACGAGGCCTTTTGGGAGCTCACTGGCTTTGGGTTCCATGAGAATTCTGAAGTTAAGCAAGTAGCGCGCGAGAGCAATCCCATGATGGGTGACCCATTAGGAAGTTCTCGTGTGAGTTCCCAGAAACAAAACCATGAGGGCATGGTAGGGGCCCAAAGCGAACAATATCATGCTACGGTGGTGGCACGGGCCCAGGATGTGGTGAACCCTAGGCGGGATGTGACAATTTGGTATCAGAGCCTAACCCTGACCGTGGTGTGCCGATGAGGACGTTGGGCCCCTAAGGGGGTGGATTGTAAGATCCCACATCGCCCAGGGAAGTGATCCTTATATGTATATTCTCATCCCTACCTGGTACGAGGTCTTTTGGGAGCTCACTGGCTTCGGGTTCCAGGGGAACTCCAAAGTTAAGCGAGTCGCGCGCAAGAACAATCTCATGATGGGTGACCCACTGGGAATTTCTCGTGTGAATTCCTAGAAACAAAATCGTGAAGGTGTGGTAGGGGCCCAAAGTAGACAATATTATGCTACGGTATGGAGCAGGCCCGGGATGTGGTGGACCCCAGGCTGGGATGTGACATGTGACAAGGCCATTCCTTTGAGATAAAAAATTATTTAATCATTAATAAATTATTAATTTTTTATTTAACAATTAAAATTAATTTAAAAAAGAAAAAATCTCTCCTCCTTTCATGCCAAATTAGGCATTCACCTCCCTCACTTCTTTCCTCTTCCTCCGGACATGCAATCTATCTTTAGAATTCTCCCTTTTTTACATTCACTTAGTTTAAGAGGCTGAGTGCCCCCAAAGTTTATGTTAAAGTAAAATGTGTTATGAATTAAGTGGTCACCTTGATCACAAGTTATTAGTTGGCGTTACTTTATATTTGTTTTGGGATAGTTGTGCAATTTATAATTCCTTAGGGCCTTTGTTTAAGTGTTTTGGTTGTTTATGCCTATGTGGCATGTCACAATATTTTAATGAGTTATATATGAAGCTCTACTCCCATTCTCAACGGTATGAAATGAATTAAATACTATTTTTACAAAAAATACGTCTGTATCCTTCTTCCTCCTTTTTATCTCCATTACTGCACCTTGCTAACTCAAGTTAAGGTTGAACAAGCTCCTAGGAATTGATCATATCAAAACGATTGGAGACAAAGGGAAAAACGATGGGGATTAGGCAGCAGATGCGAGGGACAGGGTTGAACTCATTGGGATTGGTAGAATCCCAAGTGTAACTGTTGTTGGAGCCAATGTAGGTGTAGCGTCGCCAGACCCATCATATACCACCCAACACCACCACACACCAACAGTGATTTTGGATTGCTATTTAGGTTTTGCAAGAATTAATGATCGAAGATTTTGTGAAATGGGAATTGCACAATCTTCATCTTTGGAATTGTAAAGTTTTGTTGGTAGAGAGATGGAGAAGAGAAGAATAAGAGAAGGGAAAGAAAGTAAAGAACGTCAAAGAGTGAGGGGAGGGAAGAAGATTAATAGGATAACGACGAGGAGGACTGACACACCCCAACCACAATAACACAAGTTGCGAGGCCGTGATTTATTAACCGACACTAAATTGACCATATGACCCCATCGTGAGATGACGTCACAAGCCAACTTAATGACGAAGCCATCGTAATATATTTATATGTGTAAGAATTTGAACAAAAACGTTCATTAATAATAAATCCAAAGTTGCTACATAATTTACTTATCAACCTTCCTAATTGGGAACACAAATTATCTTGGGATTAAATCCCATTATTATCACATTACATGAGAGCAACTAAAAGTTTCACACAATAGTAAACACATAAAAATGTAGTGCTATGCATAATCAAAAGTGTGATCATGCAATTATTACAATAAAGATAAAATTGCAGTAAATGAACCATTACCCTAAATTCAAAGGATGAGAGCCTCACTGCCTTATATTTGTCAATGGATCCATCAGCTTTTAGTGTCTTTTTGAAAATCCACTTGCACCCCAACGTTTTAGCACCTGCAGGCAAATCAACTAATTCCTACACATGGATAGAAATAATTTATCTGATTCACTATTAATAGCTTCTTTCCAATAAGGTGCATCTGGTGCAGTCGTAGCTTCATTGTAAGTTTGTGGGTTGCTATCCACAATGAAAGTATAAAAATCATCTCCAAAATTAGTTTCCTTTCTTGCCCTTTTGTTTTTCCTTGGTTCAAATTCAAAATTTGCATTTCTTTCAGAGCCTGGCAATGACTGAGACACACTAACAGACTTGTCAATATTGAGCTTCATAGGAAAAATATTTTCAAAGAAATCAGCATTCTTGGTTTCCATGATAGTATTAGTCTCCATTACATTAAGCTCACTTTTAATAACTGAGAACCTATTAG